GCCGGCAATGTGGGCGGCGGGGAGCTGACGGGGGAGGGCGTGGGGGGAGGCAATGTGGGTGGAGCGGTGGCCTGGACGGGGGCAGCTGCCGGGGAGGTGAGCTTGGTGCTGGAGTGGGAAGGGGAGGCGGCGGGGGAAGTGGAGATGGGGTTTTGGGACGATGAAGGGACTGGGGTGCCTGTGGTGGTCGGAGAGGCGGCAGTGGGGGACTGGGCGACGGCGCCGGAGTGGGAGGAAGACGAGGGCGCGGCGGCCGGAGACTGGGAGTGGGCGGTGGAGGCGGCGAGGAGGAAGAGGGCGAGAAGGAGAGGGAGAGGGCGAGGGCGAGCCATGGCAGCACGCAGGACAAGCTGAGAGCAAACTTGGGGTTTGTGTTGTGTGGGAGTAGCAGAGAGCAAGCTGGGTAGCACTAGTGGTAAAAAGAGATGCACACTGCCTACTGGGCACTGGCCAGCTACCAGCCTTTGCGTGTGCGCCTGTGTGGTAGAGTCACTTCTTTTCTTCGCCAGATTCTTCTTTAACTTTTTTTCACCGAGTGACTCTGCATCTCTATGTGAGCATTAAAATGATAAAATTTACTGCATGTGGTGAGGTATTTATCCAAAATCATCAAACTTGGCTAGAGTGTAAGACAATAAGTTTTGGGGAACCAGCACAACCCTCTAGGGGTGGCTTATCTCATTATATATAATGGTTGTGTTACAATATGTACCATATACGTACATAGGTACAGAAGCTATACATAGCCTAACACCCTCCCTCAATCTTAGCCACTTTCTAAAGAACTGAGAAGGGTAAGATTGCGCCTACAAGCCTCAAACTGTGGCAGCGGTAAAGGCTTAGTGAAGATGTCTGCAAGTTGATCCTTAGATGAGATAAACTTGATCTGGAGTTGCTTATCTCATTATATATAATGGTTGTGTTACAATATATACCATATACGTACATAGGTACAGAAGCTATACATAGTCTAACATAGAGCAAGAGCATCTTCGGCGGGGCACCATAAACCCAAACGTCCCGACGGCCGCCCGGTCACTAAGAGCAACTCTAATGGGCCGACCCAAAAAAACGGCGATTTCGTTCGCTTTTTGTCCGTTTGGGTCGGCTGTCCGCCCGATTTTAGATATGGGTCGGCAGCGTCTTCAACATGCCGACCGATATGTACCGACGTGGCCACCCTATTTTGCATGAATTTGCATAGTTTGAATCAAATAACATAGTTTGGATCGAATAAAATAGCATAGTTATTACAAGCCGAATAAAAATAAAAATGTCTCACATAGTTCTCATATAGTTTTGCAAACGAATAAAAGAAGATACATCTATTGGTTGCCAGCATGAGCTCACATATGCTCAACCAAATCATTTTGCAGTTGCACATGAGTTTCCCAATCACGCATGTCTTGATGAAATTGGATGAACTGTTCAAACGTTGCCGCTTCTCCATGCTCATGAATAACATTCTTACCCTGAAACTGAAACCCTTGATCGTACAGACGTTTCGGGCGCTCGTCTTCTACGATCATATTATGCATGATCACACAAGCAGTCATCACCTTCCGTAGTTTCCGCGTGCTCCAGGTATTAGTAGGATACCGAACGATGCCCCATCGAGATTGCAAAACACCAAAAACATGCTCGACATCCTTCCCAGCACTCTCTTGCTCTTGGGCAAATCTTTTCCTCTTCTCTCCGACAGGGTTGGGTATTGTCTTGACAATAATGGTCCATTGAGGATAGATATCGTCACCCAGGTAGTATCCTTTGTCGTAGTTGTGACCGTTGACAATAAAGTTCATTGGTGGGCTGTTGCCTTCGGCAAGCCTAGCAAACACCGGCGAGCGTTGAAGCATGTTGATATCATTGTGTGATCCGGCCATGTCAAAGAAAGAGTGCCAGATCCAGATATCTTGAGACGCCACGACCTCTAGTATGACAGTGCAAGCCCTGACATGGTCCTTATACTGCCTTGCCAAGTAGAACGGCAGTTCTTCCACTCCCAGTGCATGCAGTCTATGCTACCAAGCATCCCTGGGAAGCCCCTGCTGGCATTCATCGCCAACAAACGGGTTGTATCTTCAGCAGTCGGCTCTCTCAAGTACTCACGGCCAAACACAGCAATAACAGTTTTGTAGAACTTATACAGGGACTCTAGGCATGTAGACTCGCTCATACGGACGTACTCGTCAATGAGATCACCGGGCACTCCGTATGCAAGCATTCGGATGGCGACAGTGCATTTCTGATAAGAGGAAAAACCAATCTTGCCAATGGCATCCTCTTTGTACTCAAAATAGTCATCATAGCCAACCACCCCCTCTCTAATACGGTTGAAAAGATGCCTACTAATACAGAAACAGCGGCGGAATTTTTGATGTTTGAACAATCGGTTTGTTGTATCAAAGTAGTCCTTCCAAAGAAGGAAATGCCCGCTCTCTCGGTTGCGATTCAATGCCGGGAGGTGGCCCGGAATGGAGCCACGG